TAAGGTTCTGCCCATAGGGTGCTTGCCAAAGAGAGACAGAGGGAGGGAAAGTGAGAAATCCACTCCCAGCCCCTCAGGAGGATGGCCACACCACAATCTCTTCTCTCCCATTTTCCTGGGATTTGGGGTATGCACGCACACACATCTAGAAGGATTTTCAAGCCGCTAGGTCCAGGACTCCAATCGCAGCTGGTCAGGTGGAAGTCCAGCACCTTAGCCACTACACGCCCTGCTGGCCCCTAAATAGTGTGGTTTCTTAAAAGTACATCTATCAACAGGACATTCTTACCTATTTCTTCCACACGGCAGTGTGTGAATTTGAGGACGCAGACTCCTTAACATAGCAGTAGAGCATATGTTCGAGAGGAGAACTCGAATGTTGTCTTTTAAAAAACAAATGATTTATTTAATTTTATTTATTGTAATTATTATTATTTAATTTGCTATAAGGCTCATGTGCTCAGCAGAGAGAGTCAGCGAGGATAACCAGGCCACTGCAGCCCCTCGTGCTGCCATGTTCGAATGCATGTTAACACATGGCTGACGCTGAGGAGAGATCATGGCTCAGACGAGGGTGCCCAAGTCAAGTCCGCGTCCAAGGACCTGAGGTCCAGAAAACCCTAGTTATACGGCCTCCAAAACAAAACAGTAAAAAAATCCTCCAACTGGGAAGGAATGGTCTCAAAATTACCTGAAAAAAGCCATTGGGAACCAGCAGTTAGCGTAGTGGCTATGTCGCTGGACTCCCACGTAGTCGACCGCGGTTCGTGTCCCGGACCCGGTGGCTTAAAACTCACGCCGGGCGCGTGTGCGTGCGTGCCCAAGATCCCGAGAGGAGAATGGAGGAGAAGGGATTGCGGCGTGACCATCCCCCCTGGGGGGTGATTTCTCGCTTTCTGTCTCTATGTCTCTCTCTGTCTGTCTGGCGAGCGCACGCGCCCTACAGTGAAAATCTCTCCAAAAAAAAAAAAAAAGAAAAAAGCCATTGAAGTTTTACATTTCTCTTTTTAAAATCTCAGTAGTGTGCTACAAAGATGACAGAAAACCCAGTTAAGTGATGAGTAACTAAAGTAGAAATCCTCACGAAGTACTTATTAGAAGTGAGGAAGACGGGGATTCTTGGCCAGCCGTGGTGTATATGTAAGGCGTGGCAATGCTGGAGCCACACGGAGAGGCCGTTCACATCCCGTGGCCTGCCGCGCCACCGCCGGCCTAAGTGCACCTGCAACCTCGGCTCACAGAAGGGCCATTCACGGCTCGTGGCCTCCCTGGACACAGCAGGCCTAAGTGCACCTGCAACCTCAGCTCACAGAAGGGCCGTTCACGGCTCGTGGCCTCCCTGGACACAGCAGGCCTAAGTGCACCTGCAACCTCAGCTCACAGAAGGGCCGTTCACGGCTCGTGGCCTCCCTGGACACAGCAGGCCTAAGTGCACCTGCAACCTCAGCTCACAGAAGGGCCGTTCACGGCTCGTGGCCTCCCTGGACACAGCAGGCCTAAGTGCACCTGCAACCTCAGCTCACAGAAGGGCCGTTCACGGCTCGTGGCCTCCCTGGACACAGCAGGCTTTTTTCTGCCACCTCGGCTCACAGAAGGGCCGTTCACGGCTCGTGGCCTCCCTGGGCACAGCAGGCCTAAGTGCACCTGCGACCTCAGCTCACGGAAGGGCTGTTCACGTCTCGTGGCCTCCCTGGACACAGCAGGCGCACGTGCACCTGCGACCTCGGCGGGCAGAGGCTGGGTGGAGGGGGAGGGCTCGGTGTGAAGACCCTGTTGGTGGTGCCTGTCTCTCTCTCTCTTTCTAACACACACAGAAGAAGTAAATAAGTAAACTTAGGGGGGAAAAAAGCATCGGAATTATCAAAAAAAAATCTAAATAGTAAAGCAAATTCTTTCTGAAACCCGAATTACTTTTGCTTTGTTCTCTGTAACTTTCTTCCACACCTCTACAAACCCCAACATGCAATTCTAGAACCCCTCCCTTGTCCATTAAATAAAAACATCAAATGACTTAATGTTCAAGTGGATCAATAAATTGGAACGGCTGAAGCCATGTGAGTGCCTGCCCAGCACCGGCTGATTTAAGTCTACACAGGAAGTAGTGTAGACACTCTTCTTGGCCAGGTAGCCTGAGTCACACCCCACCTGGCCCAGCATGTTCCATTTCTCACTATCTGTCTCTCTGTCTCTGTCTCCCTGTCGGCCTTTCACCCCCACAACACCAACTACTGCCAGGAGGGTGGTTCCAACGCCCAAGCAACAGAAGGGAATAACACCAGCCTCGAGTTGGCTCAGGGGAAGCATCGTCACTCCCAGCTAAACCACGGGCCACTTTCAAACATAAAGAAATTATTGACCGTGACTCTGCCTGCGCTGTTCGAGAACTCTTCTGCAATTGGCTGCCCTTACAGGTGCATCAGATTGGCTGCCTGCTCCAGTTTTTAAAATACATCCGAGAGACCGTCTAAATGTGAAATTACACACCAGAGCTTTGTTGACCTTGCTGCACACACAAAATACAGTTAGTTTACAAGATGTCCTGGAGGTGCTAGCAGCGGGACTCTTACGCCACGTTTGCAGGGCTCAGGGCCTGAGATTCTGGGTGGCTGGGTGTGGGAGGGGGTATCTTCTCGAGGTTATCACCAATGTCCTCTCCAGGGATCTCTGATAATCCTGGTGACAGAAATACTGGAGATCCGTGGGGTACAATACTAGGTTTGAGGATCCCTCAGTTACATGAATATTTCTAGAAATGCTACAGGGCAACTCAGAATGCCGGGTAGGAGCTTAAGATTAGCCCACATACAAAAGCAAGATACTCTTCTTTCTCTCTCTCTCTCTCTCTCTTTTAAGAGAGATTTTTTCGATAGGGCGTGTTTACTCCCTGGAGAGACAGAGACAGAAAGTGAGAAATCACCCCAGGATGGATGGCCACACCACAATCCTTTCTCCACCAGTTTGGGATTTTGGGCACTCGCATGCACATGCCTGGCATGAGTTTTTAGCTGCCAGGTCTGAGTCTTGAACCATGGTCAACTACGTGGGAGTCCAATGATGTGACCATTATGCCATCTGCTGGTCCCAGCAAAAGACTCTCTTCTAATGCCTGGATGTGGTCATGCTGCAAACTCTACAGAGCTCACGGAGGCTTCCCAGACAGTTCAACATGCACCCGATGTAACAGGTCCATCCGCAGAGCAAGGTCAGGGCTAGAACTCACTGTGAAGCTGCTGCCTGGCTCAATAGACTCCCAAATACCCTAAACGCCTGAGTCAAGACTCCCTCAAACGAAGGTGAAGGGACGTTCGTGCTCCAACCTCGTTGAATCGTATTATTGCTGCAAACCTGGAAAGTGCTCTGGTCTATCCTGTACAACCGGATGCATGTCTATGTGTGGCAACACACCGTGTAGCCCGAGCGTGCTGTGTGCACGGTCCACTACTGCCCTAATAAGCTAAGAGGGAAAAAGCCACACGCGCTAACAATCCCTGCGCCATTTTGAAAACGTTCCAGTCACCAGAATCACACACCCAAAGAGATTCTTCTGTGAGGCAAGAGTGCCTACGACAAGCTAGAAGAAATGCAAGGATTAGAGGCCAACAGAAGACACTGAGCGCAAAAATCTTGGTGCCTTAGCCTTGACCAATTCTGTTCAAAAGCCATATGTACAGTGATGCTAGAGAGCTCTTACTATTCTGTTTTCTACTGGAAGGGCTGTATACACTTAATACTGGGTCCTCGGATGGTCACGATGCATTTTCGCAGAGAAAAACACAGAAAAAGATGGCACAGCTTTTTTGAGGACCCAGTAGTTATAACCATGAGATCTTGGAGTAAATATATCTTCTATTCACTGATTTGAATATTCGAACAATTAGCCATGCACATCTGAATGCATACTAAGTGTCTTTATCCCTGGTAGTTAAAATAATCAAGACATGCCTGGAGGTGAAGAAAAAAAAACAAAAATAGACACATAAAACAAAAATGAGGAAGGAAGGAAGGAAGGAAAGAGTAAATCAAAAACAAAAAGATTTTAAAACAATCATAAGCCTTCAGGATAAGACTAATTGAAGGTGGAAAAAATAATCACTTGCAATTTGTATAACACAACTTTGACATGGTACAAAGATATGCAATTATAACCAAGAACAAGGAAATAAAGTTGTACCTTAATTAAGAAAAACAACGGAGGAAAAAGTCATGGGAAAATGATGGAAAGTAGGAAGACATGCCACAAATATGCCACGATTAATGCTACATCCCGGGGGGAGAACGGTGCCCAGGATGGAGAAGCCTGGTGACCTGGGCCGGCCTCGCTCCCTCCGCCTGTGAGCCCCGGAGGCATGGCTGTGTGGTGAGGACGAGGAGCGGGAGTCTGAAGAACGGAATTGCAGGCCACAAGTGTTTCCCGTGGAAACAAATGATCATTCAGGTCTGAGGCTGTACAAATACCCCTTCACTCTGGCCAGCAGCAGTTGGAACTTTAAAAAGTAGAACCCCGTACCTCCTAGTAAATCACAATTCTTAAACTGCAGGGATGAGTGTGTAAAAGCACAGACATTCCAGATAGCTTCATAAAAGGCTACTTAGGAGAAAACGGTCTCTTCCGTAGTGACGCGAGTTGGCCTATCTCCACATCAAAATCGGCTCGCAGCTTCAAAAAGCCACATTAAAGGAGATTTAAAGAGAGCGCAGCTAACGCGGTTTTCATCTACCAGGTCAGGTATGAAAATAATCACAATCCACATTACCTTCCAGAGACTGGCAATCTCCCACAAATTAATGAGGTGTCATGCACAGCTGGGAGGGGGGCATACATCGGGGGGAAGGAGGAAACCACATCAAGGGGCCTCGGGAAACTCAGAGACTTTGAACGCTTCCAAAGCCTCCCCTCCTCTCTTGCACCTTTAATTGTGAGGCTGTGAGAAGTGCATTTCTGCCACATGCTTTTGAAAGGAAAAAGAAATGGTTATTTTCCTAAGTACTAGCAGACTTACTTCTCTTTCAGAAAATCCACCACTCTTTTGAAGTCAGCCACGCAGTACTCTCTCTTCATTTCCATGAGCACGCTGTCGGAGGCGGACTGGACCGGGATGTGCAGGAAAGCGTAGACCCTGGGATGATTGAGGATTTTTGCCATTTCCTTAAAAAAATTAATTAAATATATTAATTATATACGTGTGTATGTACACACACACACACACATATATATATATATATATATCCAAAGGGAGAAGGCATTAAGTTTTTTTGAGAGGTTTTGGCTGTAGGGCGCGTGTGCTTGCCACAAAGAGACAAAAAGCGAGAAATCACCCCCACAGGGAGGATGGCCATGCCGCAATCCCTTCTCCTCCATTCTCCTCTCGGGATCTTGGGCACACACGTACACGTGCCCAGCATGAGCTTAAGCCACCAGGTCTGGGACTTGAACCACGGTCAACTACGTGGGAGTCCAGAGACACAGCCATTACGCCAACTGCTGGCCCCAGCATTAATCATTTTAACAAACCGGGGGGTGGTTTTCCACACTCACAGTGTGAGCAACACAGCTGAACACAGATCAGTCATCAGGACCCTTAAAGCAGACACCATTGGCAAGAGCCTCTGATGACAAGTGGGAATCTAGAAGGATGTCATGAGAACTCCATGGCATTATTCTCATGTGCTTGTTGTCTCTCTCAGGTGGGAAAACAGAGACATGGTCATACAACGCCCCCGGAGCAGACGGCTTTGAGTTGTTCAAAACAGACGCCACTCGTGCTCCACCTCCAGCGTTTCCTACTCGGCCTTGTGGACGCTCACAGGAGAAACAGCCATGTTGAAGACAAACAGGGGGGACCCCAGAATCCAGGATGCCTGAACAGAGAAAGCCTCCCAATTCACATGAAGCCAACACATTTTTACGAGGAATACTGAGGGGGCTGGTGGCGTGGTGGTTAAGGTTTTGAGCTCCCATGTGGCAGACTGTGGTTTGAATCCCAAATTGGGCAGCTTGCTCTCTCCCTCTTTTTCTCTCTCTGGTCAAATTGAAGAATAACAATAGATGAAATTAAATGAATAATTCCTTTTTATAAAAAAAAGAACTTTTTATTTATTTATTTATTTTTAATTTGACCAGAGAAAGAAGGCAAGCCGCCAAACCTGGGACTGGAACCACAGTCACTCATGTGAGAGTCCAGCACCTTAACCACTATGCCACCTGCTGACTCCTAAATGAATAAGTCTTAAAAATATATTTTAAAAAATTAATAAAAATACTGAAGGAGAAACAAAAACTTATAATTCCTGGTTTCTCTTTGCTTGTTTCGGTTTAAGAACACACATATGTCCAGTATGTTGTATGCAAAGGGCGCGTGACCAGAGACAGGGCGGGCCGCTCCCCTCGAGGCACCCGCTGACCCGTGTTTAAGATGCAGCGCTGGAAAGGGAAGAACGGGAGAGCGCCCTGCCCCGCCACGTTAGAGCACACTCAAGAGAAGATGATGAAACTGAGTGTCCCGAACTCCTCCGAGGACACCCAGGGGTTCGAAAGAGCGACGGCAGGAAAGCGAGAGTGATGTCACCACATACGGGGCGTGAGCTGAGAAGTGGCTCACTCTAGCCCTTTTCCGCTGCTGCGGTCGTCGGGGATCAGTCTGAGGCAGAGGGAAGGTGGGGAGGAGGAAAAAAGTGTGTGTGGGGAAAAGTGTGAGGAAGGAGTGCGTGTGCACACACACCAGCACAGAGTCCACTAGTGGTAAAAATGCAAAAGGAAATCCAAGCCTGCTCTTTAATAACTTGCATGTGCCGTGTGATGTTTTGTTTATAAGGCCCCACACTCTCTCACATCTGTTATTTCATTCCATGCTTGCTTTTTTTTTTTAAGAGATATTTTTTGCTGTGGGGCACACGCGTTCGCCAGTGCAGAGAAACAGAACGTGAGAAATCCCTCCCGGGGGTGGCCATGCCCCAGTCCCTCCATTCTCTGGAGATCTTGGGCACAGCAGGCACATGCCACTGGTGTCATTTTAGGCCCCCGGGTCCGGGACTCCAACCGCGATCGACAATGTGGGAGTCCAGCAACGTAACCATTACGCCATCTGCTGGTCCCTTGAGAACAGGGTTTTGAAGGAGCTCGTGGAGTCCGGGGGGGCTACTCCCACATCCCTCTCAGTGACTCGGTGCCGGGTCTGGTGTGGGCCAGCCACGCCCATTCCATCCTCTCCGCAACAGCCACTGCACTAGCCTTTTCACCTCGGTGGAGACCAAAAGATGAACGTAAACCACTCAACTCCTTACTAGCAGCTCAGTTGTTTAAAGAAGCGATGCTTTTCACAAAGGAATTCCGATTACCAAACCAATGACATCACACCTTCTCTCCTGGGAATTAATGGGACTTGCAGGTGTACAGACCTCCATAGGGAGAACACAGACCTGGAAGTGGAGTTGCACTGAGCTGAAAAATTGCTGGATACGTTCCGCGGACCTGCTCCCTCTCAGGGCTGGGAGTGCAGCCCGGAGGTTCCTCGGATCCTCACCCACACCCACTGTGTGCGAGGCTGGACCAGGCAGGACGGCATCCCTACTATGTGCCCTGTCGCAGGCGTGCCGGCCTCCCCATGAGTCTCTGCACTTCAGGCCTTCACCCCTACACGCTGGCCCTCTCTCCCCCAAATAAGAATACTGATCTTTGTGTCGAAAGGGGCACTCAGAGCTTCTGGTGGCTTCCAACACGCCTGCCATAGCTAACACATCACACGCCTCGTGAAACGAACTTCACTCTCTGCACCCTGGTTTCCTCAGCTGTAAAATGGAGTGATTAAAACACCGCGCAGGGCCGCTGGGCTATGTGAAAGTCACTGAGGACAACCCAGTAGGTACCTGTATATTAAAGCATTCAATATGCGTTATCTGCTCTTCTTCCGTAAAGCATATTTCAAGTTCCTCATCTAAAAGAATGCCATACAGATGAATGGGAACCTGTCACTAAGAAAGAAGCTTCTCAACGGCCTCCGTGCTGGCTAGGAAGGGCGGAGAAGGACTCGCGCTGCTTTGCAGACTGTGGGCTGGGAAGGGCGGGCGCAAACACGCCCCAGCGTGGCGGCACGGTTTCCTGGGAACACCCGGGTGGCCTCCAGCTCTGACGGGGACCGCTCTAGTGAAGCTCCATCCTGTTACAATAAGCCGATCTACAACTGGGAACGCTAACAGCAAACGAGTCGGAGAAATGTGGGTTTCCCCCTTTGGGTTCTCAAAATAAACCTTCCACCAGTAATTACCTCCAGCTTCACGCTAGAGCTTTGCACTCCATGGTGCCAGGCAGCGAGACACATAACAGCAGATAAACTCGCCCCTTAATTGAAGTCCCTGCTCCTGCCACTGAAAGAGTCACGATTTCACAGAGATTAACGTGTTGCAAAGAGACCGAGTATTTATTTTGGTTTTTCTCCTCTGCCTTTTTCTCACTCAGCAACCTTGCAGAATCCTTGATCGCATCACTTTTTCCAAAACTGCTTCTTCTGGGATTTCTGGGTGACCAGTTCCAGGTGTGGCAACAGGAGAACGCCCTCCCAGGCCCAGAGCTCCCTGGGCAGATGCACACTGGCTCCTCCCTCCGGGTCTCCGCGGGGTCCAGTCCTGAGCTAGGCTTGCCACGCCACTCCGCACGCAAGGACAGGCACACCCCAGCTTACCACATAAGGAAAAGCAAAAGGAATCGGAGGAAAGCTGGCTTAACTTTAAAAAAGCACTCCCGTGTATGGGCACTTTAAAAAGAACTGCTGCTTCACTTTTACTGCCCTGTCGGTCATCAAATTACTCGACATTTTCTACTTGGGTTTGAGTCTCAATATAATACATACCACAGCTGAGCAATTACTCATGTGAGGGTGCGCAAATATGCCAACTCTTGTATTCAGATGCTTCTGCATTCTGTCAGAAAGACCTCTCTGATGACAGCTTTGGTATGAAATATACACATTCAAAATGCTAAACTTGGATCAACAGGTGGTGTGGAGGTTACAGTGCTGGATCCCACATGGCAGACTTTGCAGTTCGAGTCCTGGATCTGGTGGCTCGAAAAACACGCCAGGCATATGTACGTGTGTGCTCAAAAAATCCCAAGAGGAGGGTGGAGTAGAAGGGAGTACGTCCCTCACTAAGGAGTGATTTTTTTTCTACCTTCCTATCTTTCTGGGGACTGCACGTGTGCTACAGCAAAAACCAAAAAGCTAAACTTTACAGTGCTATGTTCGTTTCAGACCTAAGTTATACGATAAAGAAAAAAAAAAAAGGAGAAAGGGGGAAACTATTTCATTCCCCTCAAACATTTTAAAAATACCTTGATTAAGACGTAATTCATGGCCCATACAATTCACCCATCAAAGTGTGCAATTTGATTAGTTTCGTTTACTCACAGGGTTGTGCAACCATCATGACCTAATTTTAGAACGTTCTCATCCTCTCTAAAATAAACCGCATCCACTAGCAGTCCTTTCGTCACTCCCGGCCCTAAGCACCCACCAGCGACTTTCTGTAAACTTGCCTGTTCTGGGCCTTCCATTTCAATAGAAGCATACCATGTGTGGTCGTTTGGGACGGGCCTTCCCTTCCAAGCGTACAAGGGCTGTCCATGTTGTAGCATGCCAGCATTTCTGCCAACTACACACCACCACACGCGGATTCGGAACGCATCAAATGGATTCTTTTCATGCAAAACTATTCCAGAAGTTGAGTACGGTTAGGTTGACTAAGGGGTAAAGCCCGTCTCACTCACATGCATATGGATGTTAACACACCCTAATTTATAAATTTGCTACACATCAGCTGATACACATAAAATCTCACTCGAAAAATCATGACAGACTCCAAAGGAGAAAATATTAGGAAAATTGCTTTCAACAGTGGGCTCTCTGGCCCGGCTGCGGTGGTGCAGTGGTAACGTATGTGCCTGGCAAGGCTAGAAGCCACATGGCAACCACAGGTTCGGGTCCCAGGGCTGTCCTGAAGAGTCGCGGGTGTGCACGTGGGAGCCCAGGACTCTGAGGGAGGGGGGACAGGATGATAGCGAGACGAGACCCTGCGGAACACGCTTCCCTCCCTACAGCTCTCACGTGTGTGCACTCTCCATCATAGAGCAAAACAAAACCGGTTTTCTTTCATTAT